AAACCTACTGTTGTCATTTGCTGGTTAGATTAAAAAAAAAAAAAGTAACATCAAACCTTCAGATCAAGTGTTACTTGTTTGAAGAAAATTCTGGAGAAAATAGTGGAAAGTTTTTTTTTTTTTATAGAAATGCTGCATTCGTGATGCTCTTGATGACACAGACATAAATATCATATGGGAAATGGGAGAGCTACATGCCAATTGTGAGTTGAAAGGTGACCCAGGAGAGCTGGATGTGAAGGAGTTTGGAGTATAGTTGAATTGGAGGAGTTTTCTTTTCTTTTCCTTAATGGCAGAGAGTAGTGATACATCTTATAACCATTGGTGTCTTACATTCATTGTAATAGGGTGTTTGTGTTGGTTTGTACGAGGGAGAATACTGGATAGAATTCTCCTCTAAATAGTCCCCTGAAAAAGCATATATAAAACATATAACTACAGAGGGGGCCGAGGGAAACACAGATCCTTGTGTAGCAAACTTGAATAAAATAAGTTTTCTCTCAAAAGAGAGCCGCCACCATATATTTACACAATAATAACACTTTCAAAGAAAAGAAGCCGGGTTTCACTGGACGTATCGCTATCTTCGTGGAATTTTTCAAAAAACAAATAGGCGTGTAAACCAGAAACTGATGGGTACGGCCAGATAGGCTCTCAGAAAGCCTCTTCTGTTGGAAGTCAGTTAGTTACCACCAGGTAACATGGACCCCAGTTTGTCCAGGATTCTTCACGGATGCCTAATTTCCAGGCTTAATTTACACCTGCAATCCCTTTCGTTCTAAATCAGTGTCCTGATTAGAACAATATGATGTATGGTCAACCTCCTTAGGTTGAATACACTGCATAATTGTGGGAGGGCCAGGGAAAATTAGAGCAGGGCTCACCCAATCCTAAGTGTAGATACTTCATAAACTGCAGTCAGATGGACGTATTAGTGATTCGGGGCACACATCACGCCCTTGCCTTTGTTGAGCTTGTAGCTGACTTAGTCAAGCCTCTTCCATGAAGCCACATCCTCCCTGGGTGGTACTGCTTTTGGTGGTCCTGGGGCATCTGTTCCTACTCACTTCCGTGATGTTAGAATTCGACCCCTTGTCAAGAACTTCGTCGTCCAAAATGCTGCCTTAGCCCTTCCAATCTCCTGCTGTCTGAAGATAGAATCTTGCTTTTCTGTGTCATTTCCATGTTGTGATTAAAGATACTGCATAGGGTAGCCTGGTGACGCATCATTTCTTTTCAGTTTGATCCCCATTCACATCCTGGGAGTCATTTCACATCTCAAACTCCCCTGCTTCTTGCCTGATAAGATCTCAGGAGAGGCCAGCAAACGCCTGTTGAAGCTTCAGATGTCTGATGCAGAGTGGCTTTCCCTAATTTATGCATCTAGATCTTGGAACAGAAAGAAAGAAAACACAGTTAAGTGTAATGTGACTTCTTAGTGAGTGTGCTTCTTTTTGGCCCCTGCGGGGCCTTGGAAATGGGATGACTGACACAGAATAGGTCAGTGCTCAATGAATATTTGTTGATCCAAGCATGATTTTTTATTTAAAAACCAGCAGAAGAGCTTGCTTGTGGCTCTTGCTGTGAATAAAAAGCCTATTTCTTTACACCTGTCAAGGACATCTGCTTAGGGAAGTCCCACACACAGCTTAGGTCCACACTGGAGTATGAATCGACTATTTGCTAATCATGTAAATATTATTGCTGAAACGAAAACATGATTGAAGCTGGAAGTGTGAACCGAATGCAGGAAATGCCAGCTCTTTAATGTAGGCAATTAATTAGACATCATCTTTACGTCTGGTGATGGGTCCCCGGGTGTTAATCAAATCAAGCATCACCAGCTGCTGAGCGAAGAGGCTCATTCAGGAAGCATTCTTTGCACCGAAGGGGAGAGGGAGGTGGTCCTGAGATGGATTTCCTGAGACCCCAAATTTCCTGAGACCCCAATAGCTAAAGACCCCTCTAGAGGAATTCTGGGAAACTGCTTTGTAGGCACATGTGTAAGAGATCACACACAAACACTGTTTTGAGTCAGCTGAAGTGGTAGAAAGGGCTGCAAAGAACTGGGTTCCACTCCTGGTTCTGCTCTGTTCTAGCCTTGGAAATCCACGTGATCTGTCTGAGCCTTAGTTTCTTAAACTGTACAACGGAGAAGACAACATCAACCTCGTGGGGCTTTTAGAAGGTTAAGAGACGATGTAGATGGCACCCAGGGCAATGCCCAGCCTGTAAGAAGGATTCCCCAAGGCAGGCAGGGTGGTAGTGATGGTGCTGGTTAGCCACCAAATGGGTTCTCATCCCCACTCTGCTGCCGATGTGACTTCTTGGACCTTGGACATACCCTTAACTTTCAGCACTTGCTCTTTAAGTCTCTGGAAAGGCAGGAGCAGGCTAGATGGTGCTCCAGGGCTAAGTGCCCAGCATCCTGTGACAGACGAGGAATTGGGACAAGTCTATAATAAGTAGAATGAAATGTGGGGAAAACCCCACTGATACAGGGCAGGGTGGTCTCGTCAGCAAGGCCGATGCTCCACTGGGTGTTCCTTTTTTCGTTCCACCCCCCCCCCCCAGAGCAGGCTGGTGGCCACCTGCAGTGAGCCCTCCTCTCTAGTCCTCCCCACCACACCTGCCCGGCTGTCCTTACCAGCAAGGGGTGGCCCTGGAGAATATCTCTGCAGGATTGGTAGACACTCCACACCATGACAGGGCCACCTGGAAGGAAAAAGGACATTTTGGGAGGGAGGGACCTGTATTGAACCATTGGGATATTTATTTATTTATTTTAAAAGTTTATTTGTTTATTTTGAGAGAGAAAGAAAGAGTGCACCAAGCAGGGGAGGGGGAAGACAGGGGGGAGGGAGAGAGAGAATCCCCAGCAGGCTCCACACTGTCAGTACAGAGCCTGATGTGTGGCTCCATCTCACAAACCGTGAGATCATAACCAGAACCAAAGCCAAGAGTCGGTGGCTCAACCGACTGAGCCACCCAGGCGCCCTGAACTACTGGGATATTTAAAATAACATTTCCTTTTCTTTGTTTTTCTTAATGCAAATTAATACATGGCTGATGTAGAGAGCTACAAACACAAAATAGTTGAAAGCTGTCACCATCAGCTACGTACATCCTTCCAGCCATTTACATATAAAACACAAATGACCTATAACACTACCACCCTATCTTAGACTATACTCATTCAGGTGTCCCCCCCCCCCACACTGCCCCCACTTCTACATCATTGCTGGTTTAACTTTTGCTGATCTCTGTTAATAGCAATGCCCTGGTTATTCAACAGAGGTCTTCAAAATAGGATGCTTGCCTCTAGGGCATCTACAAAGCAATCGATCTGGGAACAGGAAGAAAATTTTAGAATTTCTCTTGATATTTTTACCTCTTCTTTTTAAAATGGTGTGTGTGTGTGTATTTCAAAACATGTAAGAACATGTCTGGAGGTGGACTGTCCAGAGCTGGGATGGTGGCTCAAGGTTACCATCAGAGACTTAAAGCTCTTTCCAACTTTCTGCTCTTGCGCCTCATGTACAGGCCTTCGTTCTCAGGCTCACAGCCTCATGTTTTCCAGCTGGCTGCTTATGACCGTGCTTTACAATCTACATTCCAGGCAAGAATCACAGGAAAGAATGAAGAGCAAAGGGTGTTCTCCTAGTGAGTCTTTGCTTTTTATTCAACAAAGGGTATTTTCCTTCTCGTTGGGCAAACCAAGGAGAGGTAGCAAACTGAAAATTATCAGCCTCTCGGCCTGTGTGGCACTGGAAGTCAAGGGCATAGGGAATTGGGAATCGTTGGGGGCGTAGATAATCCATAGGGTCTGCCACAGTCCTCGCTTCAGGAAAACGCACGTACGTGTGCAGATGTGTGTGTGTGCACACAGCTTCTCCAGGCAATTTTAGGGACAGAAGGAGACATGCCCCATAGGGCCAGAATGAATGGAAGCTCTGCTCAGCCAAAGCCAGGGAGCATGAAAGAAGCAATAGGAGAAGGAGATAGAAAAGAGAAGAGAAAGTAAAAAATATACAAATGGGAGTGGCAGACAGGGAAAGGAGAGTGGTTGTAAGCAGCAAATATTGTAATAGTAAAAAAGAAATACATTGGCAAAGAGAAATAAAAAGGAAAAAGCAATACTATGATGGGGAAAAGGTAAACAGTCCTTTGGGTGTCTGAAGATACAGGGAGTGTGCCCTCTCTGCCCCCACCAAAGGACCAGAAGTCAGCTCTCCAATGAAGAGTGGGAATGATGAAGGTGGTCATGGAGGAGGGGACCATTTAGTAAAAGTTGGGCCAAGTTCTGTTAACTTTTTTTAAATACATATATGTATTTATATATATATATGTATTACATATATATATGTATATGTGTATTATTAGAGACAGAGCACAGGTTGGGGAGTGGCAGAGACAGAGGGAGATGCAGAATCCAAAGCAGGCTCCAGGCTCTGAGCTGTCAGCACAGAGCCCAACGTGGGTCTCGATCTCATGAACCATGAGATCATGACCTGAGCTGAAGTTGGACGCTTAACCGACTAAGCCACCCAGGCGCCCATGTTCTGTTCACTTCTATGGAACACAGTACATGCATTAGGACTTCAAAAGAGTTCTGTAGAAGGTTTGGTACCTTGGAGAGGTGAAGTCTCATGGGGAATAGTCCAGCGGGATAAGCCCAGGTCTGTAGAATGCAGCCACATGGTGTTCCATCAGGTATTGTAAATAATTTCTAGTGGAGTTGATGGTGGCAGCTTGCAGCTAGTTGCCTGCACGTTTGTGGGAACTGATCACAGTATTTGGATTAGGTATGTTGCAGATAATATGCAATTAAGCAGTAGAATCATTAGCAGGGTCCCTGAAACCATTCCATAGGACCTCGGACAAATTCTTCCCATTTGGGAAAATCATAGAGCCTCCAGTATCTTTAGACATTGTACATAGCAGAAACAAAACGTTTTTAAGAACAACACAGGTGTCTGAGCTGCTGTATTTTCCTCTAGGGAAGTTGGTGATATCAGAGGAGGACATCACTTTGGAAAATGAGTTAAAAAGAAAGAAAAGAAAGAAAGAAAATCGAGAAAGAGGAATCCCTGATATTTTCAGAGGAAGAAATACCTGATTGCCGAAAACAGTCCATATCCTGAACAGTTTCCTAGAAATGCAACTGGTTAATTTTTATAAGCCATTCCATGCATCAAACAGCAAGTTCTGATGCTTCCGATTGCCCAAAGAGGTAAGCGGTTTAAGTGAGTTGAATAGTTTTCCCAGTATCTGACTTGGAAGTCCACCTAAAGTAAATTTTTCTATGTACATGCCACCTGCTACCTGTCTCTTGTTACGAGGACACAAGCCTTGGTGAATTTGGGCCCCACACTTAGGATCTCACTTAACGTTAATTATCTTCTTAAAGGCCGCATTTCCCAGTACAGTCACGTCAGGGCTTAGGACTTAGATATATGAAATGTTGGGGGTGGGGCACCATTCGGTCCATTGCAATCTGTTGGTACCTGTTTAACTCTGTTTCATAGTGTCTAATAACCCCAGCATTACGTATGCTCAACATCATGTGACCCTGGTTCTGCAAGAAAGAATAATCATGCTGGTCATACAGTTTAAGAAGACAAAGAAATGTGTGCTCATTTTGGAAAACTTATCATCTTCTGCAACTCAGTAAGACAGAGACCCCAATGGAAAAGGGGCCAAGGTACAAGATCAAAATTCACAGAAAGGAAAAAGTACAAAAAGCTAACAAGAATATGAAGAGATGCTCAAATGCATTAGTTGCCACAAAGATGTTAAGTTGACAATGAGGTAGCTGTTTACATGTGCCAGGCTGGCAAAACCGGGATAAGGCCAGGGTTGGCAGGGATACAGGAGCGTGGGGGCCCTCACGCACTGCTGATGGGAATGTAAACTGGTGTAGAAATCCTGCGTGGGACTCTGGTGGTAAGAGCAGATGAGGTCTATGAGTACCTCCTGACTCAGCAAATCCACTGTTGGTACATATCAAGAAGGGATTCTCACGGAGTTCCTAAGGGTCCTGTCTGAATAAGGTGACGAGGCATTGCAGCTCCCCTAGGACGATCACAGGGCGCGCCTGCTGTCCTGGTGAAATTACTCATAGCACCCTTGTCACCCTCAAATGTGTTCACTCTGGGTACGAGGATTGCCCTCAAGACCTACTTTTGGGGGTGGGTGTTGGAGGCAATTTGGGGAGTGGATGGCAGAGTGTCCTGGGTTCATGCTCTTTAGAGAGAAGTACACACGAGATGTACTGAATGAAAAAGGAAACAGGTTTATAACAAGAAAAGCAACAATAGTTGCATGCCACTAAGACTCATGCATGTGAAACCATATGTTTTATTTTTTATTTTATTTTTATTTTTTTCATTTATTTTTTACTTAAAAAATTTTTTTAAACCATATGTTTTATAAGAACACAAAGTAACAAAAGGGGTTGCAGTATTGAAATGGTTGCCCAGGGGCACATGAAGAATGTCAGGGGAAGAAAAGGAAGGAAGGAAGGAAGAAATTGAGAGGGTTCTTCTTAGATTAAAAAATGATAACGAACCATTGAGAAGTACGATAAACTCGGACCACAGTATCTGAAATCGAAAAGTTGTACAAGAGTTCCGTCAAGATAGATAAAATTGAAGAATTCTTTTAAGTATTCAGAAAGGTTACAGCTTTCTTGAGGAACTGGCATTTATTTGTTTGCTTATTTATTCTCTTAGGCTCTAAAAAGTATTTAAGTCTGCTTAATAAGTATCTTAAATAGGACAAAATAAACAAAAATAATTGAGTGAGGAAGGCAAAACAGAGAGTCTACAGAGCTAGGAAAGATAAAGCAAAGTTAAGTGTGAGGTTAATATCTAATATTCCTACCAAAAGGTCCTATAGAGTTTCTAGAGCTGAGTCTCTGCTTTGATGTTAAACTGCCCAAAAAAGAGACGGCCGTCACATACATGATCCATAATATCTGTAATAACAGCCACCACAAAATCACTCCAAGTATTAAACAGCCCAGCTGTTTCCCATTCTGAGAGCAGAGAGAAATTTCTCCCTTGGGCTCTCATAAGGAGGGCATTGTGTAATGGAATAGCGACCTAGAAACTTCATCTCCACAGAAAGACGCATTTTGAAGCCATGTTGAATATCTCAGCGCTAATTTACTCTAACAGAGTTCGGGCTCCTTGAATTTCTGCAAAAGAACTAGGTTTCATTTCCAGGATACTTCAGAAAATGTTCCCGTGAATGCAGTAAACCTGTGTGGCCCACCGATGTTTGGGCTCCCCCACTTGGATAATAACCACAGAGCCATAAATTTCTGGTTATTACAGCGATAGCTGACGGAAGACAAAAGGGTTCTCTCTCCTCCCAGATTTTGCAAGTGCCCTTGCCTTTCTGCTCCTGAGTAGGGGGCGGGAGAGGAAGAGACAGTGTCTTCCTCTATCCCTTCCTGAAACAGCTTCAGCAGCAGTTAAATTATTATGAACTAAAAACCAGACATAGTAGTTACCGCAGAGGCTGCCAGACGTAAATCTACTACGTGGAAACAGATGCCACCATAAGAGTGAAACCGGCAAAAGGCAATGCATAATGGAAGGGTTTGGTGGCAGGCATCTATAGAAAGAATGCACTGTGAGAGAACAGCTCCAAATGGACATTTAGGGTGTGTAGGAGGTGGTATGGGGTGGTGGGGGGTGGTGTGGGTAGGAGAGGGAGAGAGGCAATCTAGTGTTGGGTACCTTCTGGGTTTGGAGCAAGGATAGTTCATCAGAGTGTTTGGAAGCCTAGTTGAAATAACCCCTAAGTCGTATCCAATTATATTTGATTTTTGTTAATGCTTATTTTATTTTTTTGAGAGAGAGGGAGCGTGAGCAAGCAGGGGAGGGGCAGTGAGAGGGGGACAGAGGATCTGACGTGGGCTCTGTGCTGACAGCAGAGAGCCCGATGGGGACTCGAACTCAAGAACCGCAAGGTCATGACCTGAGCTGAAGTTGGGCGCTTAACCGACTGAGCCCCCCAGGCGCCCTTCAGTTTGTTTTCATCAAGTGACCTCTGCTTATGAATTCAATTTTTGAGAGCCCCACAGAGGGAGGCATGAAAGATTAATGCCAGAATATCTGTAATTATTGCTTGCATGTGACCCGGCAACTCAGCTTGTCAATAGGTAGAGACTTCTTAACCCCTCGAATATCGGCTGGCTTGCGACTTGATTTGGCTGATAGAATGTGGTAGAAGTCATGACGTGCCAGCTGTTTTTAAGTTTATTTATTTATTTTGAGAAAAAGAGCGCGTGTGCTCACGTGAGGAGAGAGAGAGAGAGAACCCCAAGAAGACACCATGCTGTCAATACAGAGCCAGACCCAGGGAACCAAGAGCCGGACACAACCGGCCGAGCCAACCTGGTGCCCTGTGATGTGCCTCTTCTGAGCCTAGATTCTCAAGAGGCCTTAAGTACTTTCTCCCTCTCTCTCTCTCTCTTAACATTTCGCTGAATATTGCATTGCACAGCCACCATGGAAACACGGCCAGGCCAACTTGCTCAGTGATGAGAAACAAAACTCATTTACTCACACCGTCCTGGCCGATCGCCAGACTGTGCTAGACACATGTTACATCAGCCAGCCTGTGGCCCAAGCACCAGGTGAGCATGAGACCCTGAGCGAGCCCAGGAGAGATTAGCTGAGCTGCCCTGCTACCCTAGATATGTGAACAAAACCAAATTCTGATGGTTTTCAGCCTCTGGGTTTGGGCATCCTTCCTCCACAGCAACCGCTAACCAACACAGGACGGCTCCCTGATAATAGCCCAATAACTAACAGAAAAATGTGTCTATTATAAATGAAAGAATCCAAACAAAAATATTAGGAATGAAAAACACCCAGCACACCTTACATTCTGGTTTGTGTTTTGGGATCTTCTAAGCCAGGGAGCGTGGCAGCCCCTGAGTCTCTGAATAAGTAGACAAAATGTAGTTTCTGGACTTGGAACGTGGAGGACCAGACCCCACACGAGTGATCTTTAGACACTCCGCTTGGGATTCCCCGCATGGCTGCAAGGCGACAGCCATATGTCTCCCTTACAAATAAAGTGTCTGAAACTGAAGTTACCATGTCCCCACCTCCTTCTAGTTTACATGACAGAGGGTTGTTTTCTCTTAGAATATCTTAATTACTCCTAAATTGCTGTGCACCTGCTACTGTGAATTCTAGAACAGTTCCTTTCTTGGGGCACTGTTTTCCACTCTGCTGGTGTATGTCTCATCACCCCAGGGAAAGGAAGGAGGGATGGAGGCAGGCCAAAACACCTGTCACAAGCAAAGCCGGAAAATACCAGCTTTTAATTGGGTTCTACGGTGGTTTCTGTGGCCACTTCTGACCCCTGACATTTTCTCTTTGAGTTTTGTCATCAGTTTTATTTGGTTCGGCTTAATGTTTGCAGCAGGAAGGAGAGTCACAGCCAGACATGGCCCCTCTTTCCTGTGAATCACCAGCATCTGCTACACGGTGGCAGAGTCTCATTAGTACTGCTTCTGCTGGGCTGGCAGATCTTTTGAGAGGAGGTACCGGGGGCTCCGGGATTCTCTAATGACTCTTGGGGAGGTGCCAGAGGAGGGTTACTGTCTTGGGGAGGCCATTGTAAAAATGTGCCTGTCTGTGTCCTGCAAGAAATGAAAGAATCCTTTCGTTTGAGCCCAGTTACCAGACTTCTTAGGATAGCTATATTAGAAAATTAGTCCAAATTAGGATTCTGCTCATAAAACATCTAGTAATTTGGGGCATCTTTTTTGGAAGTTAAAAATGTTTTCACACTCTTTCTCCTTTTCAGAAATTAAAGAATTTGAGCATCATGGCATAATGGTTTTTGAGATGGGGCCACAGTGCCTGGTTTTCAGGTATACTTGGATGGCTTCCTCGCTCTGTGAACTGTATGCTTTGTGGCACATGGAGTAGCTTTTCTAAGACGTCGGTTCTTATCTATGCAGTGAGAATGGTATTAAATTTGCCATGAGGATTAATTTGTTTAAACGTGTATAATTCTTAGCATGCTTGGAGCATAGATGTAGATGGTAAATGAGTTCTTTTATGTTTCCTTCTTATCACCCTTCCTGACTTTTATTTTTTGTTTGTTTGCTTGATTTCTTGCTTACATACAGTATTTTTTACTCTGTAGAATAAAGGAAGAGTTTTTTGGAAAATAAGACGTTTATACGAATATCTGAAACTGTATTTTTTACCCAATAATCTCACTTAGGGGAATGTGTTCTGTAACAATGGCCCCAATTATTAAAAGTACAAAGGTGTATAGTCATAAAGAGATCCCATTGTTGCTTCAAAATGTCCTTCCTGGTCATTTTCCTGTTTATTTTTTTAAAAAGGGCACTTTCCTCACCCTCTCTCTCTTTTTAATCGTTTGTGCCATTTGCTACTTATTCTCATTATTGTTTCCATGCAGGCAGTAAATTCCTATCCCTTCAACAAATCGTTAAAAAATAGACTAGTATTAATTCCCCATGGGCTCAACATGAATCACTTCCTTCTAAAAAAGATTGTCAAACAGGCTTATTTCTTCAGGCTGCCGGTTTCCGGGGGAAGCAACACTGGATTATAACCCATCTTATATGGTTACATATCTATTGGGAGATATTTCATAATAATAAACTATGCTAGTCCTTCCTAATATTTGGAATGCAGTGGTCTAAGAGCACACTAAGAAAACAGTCAAGAAGGCATTGGAAGTGAAGAAAAGGGAAATCATCTTGACCAGTGAATTGCTGCTTGTCCATCCCTATGCTGGGGTTGTCCAAGGTATTGCTTTTATAAAAACAAACAAAAAACCCTGCCAGTAAGCATTTTAATCCCCCGTTTCCTGAAAAGGAAACTGAAGCTCCAACATTTCAGATGGCTTGCCTGAACACCAAGAATTTAAACAAAGGGCTGCTTGACTTGAAAATCCATGTTCTTTTGTTTGTTTTTTTAATTTTTAAAAAATATTTATTTATTTTTGAGAGAGAGAGGGAACAAGTGAGGGAGGGGCAGAAAGCAAGGGAAACACAGAATCCAAAGCAGGCTCCAGGCTCTGAGCTGTCAGCACAGAGGCCGATGTGGGGCTTGAACTCATGAACCGCGAGATCATGACCTGAAGTTGGATGCTTAACTGAGCCACCCAGGCGCCCTTAAGATCCATATTCTTCCTTCTATTCCCAGCTGCCTCCAAAGCAGTGATTCTTACATTGGCTATACATTGGACTCATTTGGAAAGCTTAAAAAAAATAGCAATGCCCAACACAATACTGAAAAAGAGCAAAACTGGAAGACTCATACTACCCAATGTCAAGATTTATGGTAAACTTTCAGTAATCAAGACTGTGTTCATTGGTGAAACAAGAGACACATATATCAGTGGAACAGAATAGAAAACCACAAAATAGACCCACACAGATAGAATCAAGTGACTTTGACAAAGGAGCAAAGGCGATGGAATGGATTAAAGATGAACTTCTCAACAAATGGCACTAGAAAAACTGGACGTCCATGTAACATAAAATTTAAAAAAGTGAACCTTGTCCCAGATGTTACACTTTTATAAAAATAAACTCAAAATGGATCATAGATCTAAATGTAATATACAGAACTTTCAAACTGATAGAATAAAACGCAGGAGAAAGGCTATGTGACCTTGAGTTTGATGATGAATTTGTAAGTATATGATGCAAAGCATGATTTGTTAAAGAAAAATTGAGAAAGTAGACTTCATTAAAATTAAAAACTGTGAATGCACTGTAAAAGAAAAGCTAAGGACACGCCACAGACTGGGAGGAAATATTTCCAAACACATACCTCATAAAGGTCCTCTATCCAAACTATTCAAATGACCCTTAAAACGTGACAGGAAGAAAACAATCACATTTTTAAATGGTCAAAAGAGCCAAACAGATGCTTCACCAAAGAAGAGAAACAGATGGAAAATGATCATGTGAGAAAATACTCAACATCGTTTGTCATTAGGGGATTACAAATTACAACAATAATGAGATAACACTACACATATATTATAATGCCTGAAATTTAAAACCTGGCATCAATTGCTGATAAGGATATGGAACAAGAAAGAAGTCTCATTCACTGCTGGTGGGAGTGCAAGATAGTATAGACGCTTTGGGAGATAGTTTGGCACTTTCTTACAGAGATAGGTGTAGTCTTTATCATTTAGTGATTGAATTACCACTATTTACTGATTTGAAAACTTAAGTTACCATTTTGAAAATTTATACCTGGGGATGCCTCAGTGGCTTAGTCAGTTTAGCGTCCGACTTCGGCTCAGGTCATGATCTCGTGGTCCATGAGTTCGAGCCCTGCATCAGGTTCTGTGCTGACAGCTCAAGCCTGGAGACTGCTTCAGATTCTGTGTCTCCTCTCTCTGCCCCTCCCCTGCTCATTCTCTCTCTCTCTCTCTCAAAAATAAGTGTAAAAAAAAAAAAAAGAAAGAAAATTTATGTCCGTACAAAAAAAACATTCATGGGAATGTTTATAGCCACTGTACTTATAATTTCCCAAGCTAGAAGCAACCAATAGGTCCCTCAGTAGGTGAATGGGTACATCTATACAATGGAATATTATTAAAATAATAAAAGCAATGAACTATCACACCACAAAAAAAGACATGAATGAATCTTAAATGCAACTTGCTAAGTGAAGAAAGCCAGTGAAAAGGCTCCATATTATATGATTCAAATTCTATGACATTCTGGAAGAGGCAAAACTATAGAAATGATAGAAAGATCAGTGGTTTCCAGAGGATTTTTTAGGGGAAGAGGAAAGGGTTGAATAAGTGAAGCACAGAAAACTATTTAAGACAGTGGGACTATTCTGTATGATAGCTGTAATGGTGGATATATGATACTATGCGTTTGTCAAAACCCATAGGACTTTATAGGACAAAGAGGAAATTTTATGCAAATTTGAAAAAGTTATTTAGTAGATCAGGATCCCGGGATGAAGTGCAGAATTGTGACGGAACAATGTATTACAAATACATTGAACAGCCTCACTGAAGATACGGAGGAGAAGAGGTGCTGACCTAAGTAACCTTGGAAATGAATGGAGTCTAATACTAAAGGCAGAAGGAACTGTCCATAAGTCTGTACTGTAGTTGATAAACTTCCCATGAGGGTCCAGGTTAACAGTTCTGGTACCACTACATACTGAAATTCATCAGTGAAGTAAAGAGACAATGATGGGAGCCAAGTTTCTCAGTGTGGAGTAGGAAATTACAGAAAAGCAAGAGGAAGAGTGGAAACATCCCTGTGATAATTGGATTAGAGTTGGAGACATCAATATGGACTCATATTAGCTTAATGTAGAGGAAGACAGTTCCATACAGAAGTACTTACAGGTAAGTATATATGCATCGGTTATTATGCACACACATAATTTCCTCGTTTTGTCAATGGAAAGAGTTTAGGAACGGTGACATCTCTGTAGCAGTGAGCACACCCAGCATACACATCGTGGCTTCTAATACCATTCTTCAACAAAAGGAACCAGGACTTAGATAAATGGCTGATTCTAGGACTAGGGTAGGAAATAAATAAGATGAACACAGAGCATCATATAGTGGCCAAAAGTAAGAAAGTGCTCAGAAAAACACCACCACTACCACAAAGGGATATAGGGCCAATGAAAGAACTCCCGATGGCCAAAGCTGGAACACTGGAGCAGCAAAATAATTACAGTAGTATTGGATTGAAATCCAAAGTAGAAAATAAATGAATCTCTATAATATAAATAAATGGAAGAAAATAGACAAATTTCCTCTATCAAAGAACTCTAAAAATTTCTTGTAAATCCTAAGCCCTCAAGGAGCTGGAATGTAACCCTGAAGTGTGGGTTGCACATGGTGACTTCCTTCAGAAGAGTACAGTAAGAAAAAAGGGACAAAAGACTAACTTTGTCCTGGAGAAGCCTGACAAACACTAGCTCAGCCAAAAGATTAGGGTCAACGTTGCTAGTGACAAGGCAGGTCAACATACGTGCCCTTGATCTGGTGCGATGAGAATGGTTTCATCTCACTGGTGTTCTTCTCAAAAGCACATAACCCCAGTCTGATCATGAGAAAAACATCAGACCAATCCCCACTGAGGGACATTCTGCAAAATATCTGGCCAGTACTTAAAACTATCAGTGTCATTAAAAACAAGGCAAGTCTGTGAAACTCTTGCAGCCCAGAAGAACCTCAGGAACTATGACAACTACATGTAATGTGGCATCCTAGATGGAATCCTGGGATACAGAAAGCAAACTAGGGAAAAACTACAGAAATGTGAAAAAAGTACGGGCTTCAGTTAATAAAAATGCATCAGTATTAGCTCAGCAATTGTAACACATGTACCAGACTCCTATAAAATGTTAATAATAGGGGGAAATGGCTAGAAGGTATATGGCAAATGTCTGTAGTCTCTTTGCAATTTTTTCCATAACCCTAAAGCTGTTCTAAAGTCAAACGTTTATTGAAAAGAATTGGCTAATGCCTTGTACTACCCTGAGATTCCGATTTCATCGAGTGTGTGGCCCAACCCTCAAGACTTTAAAGAGCTGCCCAGGTGATTCCAGTATGTCTCCAGCAAAGTACTCTAAAGGAAGGGATGGAATTTCCCTTCTCCTGTCTTGTCTAATTGTAATAAATGCTCTGATCTTGTGCTTGGTAAATAGCCTTAATGATTCTGGTTGTTTGAATAGAGCAGAGCTTCAAGCAGACAGCCAGTGTTCTGGAACTTGGAAAGTGATACTTTTCCTTAAATGAAAAATCTTGTCCAAGAAGCTTTAAGTACCGTAAACAGTTTAGGAAAGTGGTGAAGGGCAGACTGTACCAAACGGATTGTCCATCTAAACGTGGGCACGGTGGGAATGCCTTCCATGTCCTTCTGCTGGGCTGCACCATGTGTACATGGTGGGAAGCTGTCCCCGAAGTTTTAGGTGCCACGGGTTTGGCTTTCATGAGATAGCAGGCCTATTCTCCAGGGTTTGGTTGTGACCTGTACGATAAAAGAGTCACTTGCTGGGGAGTGCGGCTTAAGGGCTCAGGGACTGTGAACTGAAGCCACCTGTCTGATTTTCTTTGCAGGGAACCTGGCAGCAAAGGTTCTTGGGGGGGTCTAATCTGGTGCTGGAGATGATTGGCTCCCCCAGTCGGTGAGGAAGGGATCCTCCTGACCCAGCACCTAGACCAACCTCTGTTGGAAGAGACGGAGCTTGAGAGGCATCCTGTCCTCACGCACAATCATGGTGCTAATCAAAAGTGGCGAGACTGTATTTTCAGACTTGCACTGTTTGCTTAAAACCACAATAGGCCAGGAAATTGCTTCATGTACATAAAGGGATAAAAAAGATTTATTTTCCCCATCGTTTTTCTTGCTCAGAAATAGTCGTTAGTAGACATTTCTTCTTTTTTTAAAAACCTGTAGAAATATTAACCAACCGGAAAATAATTATCGATTCTTACACTATGCTAGGCACTGAGGGAGACTTGTAAAAAGTTAAAAAAAGATAATAGTGGCCTTTAAAAATTTTTTTATTTCTGAGAGAAATAGCACACAAGTGGGGGAGGGGCAGAAAGAGAGAGAGAGAGAGAGAGAGAGAGAGAGAAAATATCCCAAGCAGGCTCCACACTGCCAGCACAGAGCTCAAGGTGGGACTCAAACTCATGAACTGTAAGATCATGACCTGAACTGAAATCAAGCATCAGATGCTCAATGGACTGAGCCACCCAGGTGCCCCTAAAAAAACTGATAGTGACCTTCTATTCTTTCCTCTAAATGATGCTTCAGTATGTATTGAGTAACAGTAACTATAGATTTAAATTTTTTTAATGTTTATTTTTGAGAGAGAGACAGAACATAAGCAGGGGAGGGGCAGAGAGAGAGGGAGACATGGAATTCGAAGCAGGCTCCAGGCTCTGAGCTGTCAGCACAGAGCCCGATGTGGGGCTCGAACTCACAGACTGCAAGATCATGACCTGAGCTGAAGTCAGACGCTTAACCGACTGAGCCACCCGGGCGCCCCTGGACACTAGAGATTAAAAAAAAATGAAACAAAAATCTAGGATCGGTTTCCTTTATTAAGTGGCCTATTAAGTAGTCCAAGAACTTACTGTCTAAGAGGTTCCCAACTGGGGATAATTTGCTCCCTAGGGGAAATGTGATAGTGTCCAGAGAAATATTTGGTTGGCCCTACTGAGATGGGTGGGGAATGCTACTGGCATGTAATGAGTGGAGACCAGTGATGCTGCTAAATATCTTCCAATGCACAGGACACCCTCCAACAGCATAGAACCACAATGTTACTAGTGCCAAGACTGAGACACCCTGCAAACCCAATGGGCTCTTCCTTAAGAGCACTCTGCAGGTGCAAATTAACAAAGCAAGCCTTAAAGCCACCCCCTGCCTTCCCTTTCCCCAGTGGGCTTGGAACAGGGGAGGGTCCGTAGCTGAGGGGTGAAGAAAGGGTATGGGCCATGCCATCCAGGCGGGGCTTGGTGGCCCCGTTTCAGAGGATGGTCATCAGTTCTGTCGTCAGGTCCCAGCATTTTAACTGTGACAGCACGGGACAGAGGGCACGTCCAGTTAAGTCTCGCTGTTCCACAGATGACCTGAGCCCTTCTCCTTTCTGCTGCAAGCAGCCAGGTTTCCAGTCAGCCCCCAATGTACAGAAGGCTATTCAAATACAGCGCACCTTTGAACAGCACGGGGCCACTTATACATGGATGTTGTCAGTAAACACAGGACAGTGCTGTGAATGTATTTTCTCTTATGACTGTCTTAGGAGCATTTTCTTCTCTTTAGCTTATTTTATTTATTGATCAATCGATAGATCTATAAAGCTACTTGCTTTATCTATCTGTAACATAGATAACATAAAATACGTGTTCATCGACTGTGTATGTTATCTGTATAAGGCTTCTGTTGACTAGTAAAGTTTTGGGAGAGTCAGAAGTTGCTGAAGGATTTTTGAGTGTGTGGAAATTCTGCCCCCCCTAACTCTGCTGTTCAAGGGTCAATTGTAATATTATTGAAAGTCAATGACACTCTTAAAATGTAAACCTAACATTGGCTCCGAAGTTGAAACTACTATAATACTTTTCTTTTGTCTTACCATGTGTAAGTATTAACTATAAGTTTAAATTTTTTTCATGTTTGTTTATTTTTGAGAGAGAGAAAAAGAATGTGGGAGGGGCAGAGAGAGGGAGACACAGAATCCGAAGCAGTCTCCAGGCTCTGAGCTGTCAACACAGAGCCCTACCCAGGGCTCGAACTCAAAAACCTCAAGATCACAACCTGAGCTGAAGTTGGACGCTTAACTGACTGAGCCACCCAGGCGCCCCAAGTTTAAATTTTAAAAGTGGCCCTGCAACGATGCTGTTGAATATTGCCACTAGCCACATGTGGCTACTTAAAATTTAAAATTCATTCTGCAACCACACCAGTCATATTAAAAGCACTCAGTAGCCACATGTCCCTAGTGGCTACTGAACTGGACAATGTGGACAAAGAACATTTCTGTTACCATAGAAAGTTCTACTGAACAGCCCTGCCTTATAAGCCATTTCTAAGGATCCTTGCCGGTGTATACAGTTACTGCTAAAAAAAAAAAAAAAAAAAAAGGCTTGTTTTCTAGCAGCTAAGGTACCAGGGCAAATGCTTTGCATGATCTCGTCATTATCTGTTAGAAAGACAGACATGTTCTGCTGGGAGGGACCATCTTTTGTCAGGCAATTTGGGGAAGGATTTCTGTGATGGATGCTGGGTAATGTATCAGATGATTGAAACTGATTTTCCAGAAGGCGTAACGATGTAAAATTCAAGTAGATAACCTCTGTAAGGCATTTCTGATCTAAGTCAAGTGTGTATTGTTAAATATTAATTCCATTAAGGTATGTCAGCAGGGAATTAAGATATGTGACCCAAATATATTTCTTTCTAGTAATTGAGTGTAATAGCAAACTAACGCTCAGTGGATCTTAACTGGGGGTAAGTCAGGGAGGAGGGAGGATCAGAAAGTCCTGGGAGCCCCTACAAAATGCATACGTTGCCCCCACGTAGGGTTTGCCAGAATGGTGGGGCGGGTGGTTGGGGAGGGAAGGTCTTGCACACGTATATTTTCACAATGTTCCCCGTGTAAGTCCACTGTACCCAATCTAGATGAGTATTCTTTAGAGATAGTAAAGATAAATAATTGGGGCACCTGGGTGGTTCAGTCGGTTAAGCGTCCGACTTCTACTCAGGTCACGATCTCACAGTCTGTGAGTTCGAGCCCCGCGTCGGGCTCTGTGTGGACCGCTCGGAGCCTGGAGCCTGCTTAGGATTCTGTGTCTCCCTCTCTCTGACCCTCCCCTGTTCGTGCTCTGTCTCTCTCTCTCTCTCAAAAATAAATAAACAATAAAAAAATATTTTTAAAGATAATTAATTTGCCTCTTTTCCCTTGTGTGATGGGGGGGTGTGGCTTAAAAAAAGATCTCTGGGCTCCACTTCTAGATAGGATTCTGTGCCCTTTGGGTGAGCCTGTTCTCTCTCACTGTCCTTCTTTCAAAAGACTCACTGGTTGTTCCTGGCTACGTCTTCCCTCTAAGACCTTTAGGATGATCCACTGGCTTTGGAACAACTGCCTGTGACATTTCCTTCCAGTATCAGGTATCTGTCTCCAGCAAACCTGTGCAAGCTGAGTATCACCATCTGGTCCTGGATGCATTTTGTTATCAGTGCTGGAAGTGATGATATGGTATGCCGCTGTCATGTGCCCAGAGGATGCAGGGGCCAGAGAGGACACTCAGGTAAGGAAACTCAGGAGCCCCATTTGTGTTTTTTGCTCAGGTTTGAAGGGAACACTTCCACAGGAGGTTGGGCCCTGGGTGTGTGAATGGGGCTAACCATGTTCTCGAAAAATACCCCTTGCACATCTGTTTACATTGAGAGTTCAGAGTTTGGTCCTAGACTTCAGCTCATTTTTGTTAAGATTAGAAGGCTATTATTAACTATAGAGAAGCCTAACACTCCATCAGATTGAGAGCCAGCTCTTATGACAGATGGAAGACTTCAACACCCTTATCCTAACCCTCTTTTAAAAGGGAACTTAAGGGGCTCCTGGGTGGCTCAGTTGTTTGAGCAATTGACTCTTGATTTTGGCTCAGGTCATGATCCCAGGGTCATAGGATTGAGCCCTGTGTTGGGCTCAGTGCTGAGCATGGAGCCTGCTTCAGATTCTCTCTCTCTCTCTCTCTCTCTCTCTCTCTCTCTCTCTCTCTCACACACACACACACACACTCTCTCTCTCTAAAAAAAACAACTGAAATTTCACTCCAATTTTCTTTTTTTTTAATTTTTTTTTCAACATTTATTTATTTTTGGGACAGAGAGAGACAGAGCATGAACGGGGGAGGGGCAGAGAGAGAGGGAGACACAGAATCAGAAACAGGCTCCAGGCTCTGAGCCATCAGCCCAGAGCCTGACGCGGGGCTCGAACTCATGGACCGCGAGATCGTGACCTGGCTGAAGTCAGACGCTCAACCGACTGCCAGGCGCCCCTTCACTCCAATTTTCAAAGCATATTAGCTCTGAAGGAACCTTTGTGTGTTTTTCACTTTTGTTTTCTCTGGGAATGCATTTATTTATTTATTTACTTCCTTACTTATTTACTTACTTACTTACTTACTTACTTAGTTATTTTGGGGGGATGGGCAGAGAGAGAATTCCAAGCAGGCTCCACACTGTCAGCAAGGAGCTCTACGTGGGCCTCAACCTCAGGAACTGTGAGATCATGACTGGAACCGAAATCAAGAGTTGGATGCCTAGCTGACGGAGCCACCCAGACGCCCCGATGCATATAAAATAGCCCTACTCCAGTCCGTATTTTCCTCATCCTGGGGTTCAGATTTTCCTTTGGCAGAAATCCAGTTTTCCCTACGATAAGTAAAACGCTGATCACTTGGGATTTTGAAAGCATAAGGTGGGACTCCTATCACTGGGAACCTATCCAGAATATGAAGTCCTTTTGATGGCATGTTGCACAACATATGACATAAGCAAGAAACCTTCCAGCAGCCCTGGCAAATGTCCAACCCTACCTTCCCGCATCCCTTTAGGGCAGCAGCACTGTCATTTGTGAAAGTGAAAAGAAGGTATGAAATCAGGAGACGGGAACAGACTGTAAATCAGCAGGTTTGGTTCCTTCTCTACGGAGTCTTTGTGGGTGTTTCTCCTTTGAGTTTTCCAGGGCTGGAGACCTCAGAGGCATGAAATGCCCTAAGGTTGTAGAAGCCCATCAGGGTTTGTCTTTTTAGAATACCCAACTAAAATGGAGAATCTTAAAGCATGTATAGTTTTGGCTTAAAAATTTCACTACTCTCTTGGAAGGAATGAGGGAAGGCAGATAGAGAGGGAGGAAGCATGGATGGAAGGAAGGGAGGGGGGAGGGAGGATGGATGGGAGGGAGGGAAGGAGGAAGGAATGAAAGAGGGGAAAAGAACTCCAGAGTGGCTTGCTGAAACTACATC